AATGATCAGATTAAAGGTCTATAAACTGTAACTCTGTCATGACAGAGGGCAGAAAACAGTTCTTCAGAAAAGGCAGGCCAGTTTACTTCTTCACCAACAAAAGAGACTTCCCCCAAATACATCTTAACCTGCTTTATATGGACTAAGCTGGTATAAAAAAAAAGTCTGTTCTGTTTTAACTTACAACAAGGTTAAATTATTTCTGACATATTTATTGGACATTTTTACTTCCTCTTTCGTGAGTTGCTTGATCATGCCTTCTCTTTCTTTTGGAGGCTCAGCTCTTTCTGTATGTAAAGAGGGTTCTCATGCCTGGCGGAAATACTCTCATTGATTTGAACACTAAATGCCAGACTTCCTTAAGAAGTTGGTATTATGAGCCCACCATGACTTTTCTTTGTATCTCTAAAGACTGCCTTGTGACAAATGTCAGGTGGAGGCAATATGAACTTTGCCTGTTGGTGTAGATGGAAAACTATCATTTAAATATTTGTACTCTGCATTGAAAAACTGAAACTTTTCTTTGTGGCAAGATAATCAATACTAAGAGCAAAATCCTTTCACCAGAGACAACAGTCTTTTCCACTCCTTTCAAAAGTCCAAAAGCAGTGAGTCTGAGGTATAAAAATTCAAATCACAGAAACAAACAAGCCAAAAAATTTTTTTAAAACCTCTCTTATGCTGTTGGTGCTCTGTTCAGGAAGTTGTCTCCTGAGTTCAAGGCTCTTCCCCACTTTTTCTTCTAACAGGTTTAGTGTGTCCGTTTTTATATTGAGATCTTTGATCCACTTGGATTTTAGTTTTGTGCAGGGTGATGAGTATGGATCTATTTGCATTTTTCTACATAGAGACATCCAGTTAGACCAGCACCATTTGTTGAAGATGCTGTCTTTTTTCCATTGTATGGTTTTGACATCTTTGTAAAAAATCAGGTGTCCATAAGTGTGTGGGTTTATTTCTGGGTCTTCTATTCAATTCCATTGATCCACCATTCTGTTTCTATGCCAGTACCATGCAGTTTTTATTACTGTTGCTCTAGAGTACAGCTTAAGATCAGGGCTCTTAGATCAACAATCAATAAATGTGACCTCATGAAACTGAAAAGCTTCTGTAAAGCAAAGGGCACTATTATCAGAACAAAACGACAGCCTACAGATTGGGAAAGGATCTTCACCAACCTTATATCTGACAGAGGGCTAACATCCACAATATATAAAGGACTCAAGAAGTTAAACAGCAACAAATCAAGTAACCCAATTTAAAAAATGGGGCACAGAGCTAAACAGAGAATTTTCAAGAGAGGAAAATCGAATGGTGGAGAAACACTTAGAGAAATGCTCAACATCCTTAGTCATCAGGGAGATGCAAATCAAAATGACCCTGAGATTTCACCTTACACCCATCAGAATGGCTAATATCAAAAACTCAAGTGACAACACTTGCTGGAGAGGATGTGGAGAAAGAGGAACCCTACTCCATTGCTGCTGGGAATATAAATTTGTACAACCACTTTGGAAATCGATCTGATACTTTCTCAGACAATTAGGAATAGTGCTGCCTCAAGATCCAGCTATACCACTCCTAGGCATATATCCAAAAGATGCTCAAGTATACAAGGACATTTGCTCAACCATGTTCGTAGCAGCTTTAGTTGTATTTATTTGTATAGCCAGAAGCTGGAAACAACCCCGATGTCCCTCAGTTGAGGAATGGATACAGAAATTGTGGTACATGTACACAATGGAATACTATTCAGCAATTAAAAACAAAGAAATCATGAATTTTGCAGGCAAATGGTGGGATCTAGAAAAGATCACCCTGAGAGAGGTATCCCAGAAGAAGAAGGACACACATGGTATATATTCACTTATAAGTGGATATTAGACATATAATATAGGATAAAGATACTAAAATCTATACACCTAAAGCAGCTAAACAAGGAGGACCCTGGGTAAGATGATCAATCCTCACTCAAAAAGGCAAATGAGACGGACATTGGAAGAGGAAGAAAACGGAGAACAGGATAGAAGCCTATCACAGAGGGCCTCTGAAAATGGGTATCAAAACATATCCTGAGATTCATAGCCAAACACTGGGCAGAGTGCAGGGAATCTTATGAAAGAAGGAAGAGATAGAAAGACCTGGAGGGAACAGGACCTCTACAAGGAGAGCAACAGAACCAAAAAATATGGGCCCAGGGGTCTTTTGTGAGACTGATACTCCAAATAAGGACCATGCATGGAGATAACCTAGAACCCCTGCACAGATGTAGCCCATGTCAGCTCAGTGTCCAAGAGGGTTTCCCAATAATAGGAAAAGGAACTGTCTCTGACATGAACTCAGTGGCTGGCTCTTTGATCACCTCCACCTGAGGGGGGGCAGCCTTACCAGTCCACAGAGGAAGACAAAGAAGCCAGTCCTGATGAGACCTGATAGACTAAGGTCAGATGAAAGGGGAGGAGGATAGGAGAATAGATGGGGGAAGGGCATAGGAGACGAGGAGGGAGGGTGGGATTGGGAGGGGATGGGGAAGAGGGCTACAACTGGGATATAAAGTGAATAAACTGTAATTAATAAAATTAAAATAAAAAAATTAAAAAACCTTATTACGAATCCAAGGGCTCCCTCCACAGTAGAGGGAAACTTGCTTAGTGTGTACCACTTGAACAAAAAGGCAGCTCCAAGGGCCTTCAAAATAGCAGCCAAAGAGGACACCCAACATGATTCTAAATCCTGTTACCAATATGAGGCTCTGCCATCCCAAATTCCATGTACAGGAAATGAGAGATGTGCTGGTCATCATGGCACATGACTTCAATCCCAAAAGAGGCAGAGACAGGTATAGCTCTGTGAGTTCAAAGCCATCTTCCTAGTCCAGCCAGAACTACATAAAGAGATCTTCTGTGAGAGAGGGGGGAAAGAGAGAGAGAGGGGGGCAGGCAATTCTTTGCTTGCTGTATTTCATAATCTACCCTCTCCACAGCCAAGCTAAATACCACATGGATTTGACCTTCCCTGATATTAGTACCATCCATCTTTCAGGACCTTACCCAGACCTGTCCTGACTCCTGCCATGATGTGCCAGTCATTCTGTTTCTATTATTGTCTTCCTTAACTTTATCCCTCAAGTACAAATTTAAGCACAGCCTCCACTCACTGTTACAAGATGGGGCTTCCCAAACTTCTTCCCATGGCAGATTAGATAGGTCTGTAGTTCACCTGGCTTCTGGGTCCTGAGGAGACACCAGCTGCCCCGGTGTGTGTATTTAATGACAGGAAGCATCCCCTTCCTCATCCATCCACTGACTGATTTTGCAGCCTTGAAGACTCAGCTGAGGGATGAAGTTCTCTTAGAAGTGTTTCCTGGTACAGGTCCAGCAGGCTGAGCTCTGTGCCCTTCCTCAGCACTCAGTGAATGCCCTAACTGCAGTCTAGAAAAGTAAACGAACAGGTGTTCTCATCTGCAGGATGTCAAATACAGCTGAGCATGCTTTGGGGTAACCTAATTACATGGTGTAGTAATGGACCCTTCGTCAGAGTTCCTTGAAGTGTCAGCATTATCTTATTGCATACCCAGAGACCATTACTATGTCTGGCACATAGGATATGCTCAATAAAGGCTTACTTGATGATGACTTCACTTAATAAACACAAATTACTTTACAAACATCCTATAATTTTTTTTAGAGTAGGCAGATAAATCAGAAAATTAAGTACTAATATTACATAGTTATGAGAACAGTCTTGTTTGCTGAGAGGCTCCCTTACATCCCTGATTTGAAAAATATCAATGTCTTCTATTACACTTGAAATAACATTTGTACATATATTTTCTATAAATTAAGACACAGGCTCTAGTCCTTGGTTACATATTGAAATATGGGATATCAAACATAATTTCAATACATTCCTGTACATACAGTAAGTACTCAATGATTATCTTCTAACTTTTTAATAGTAGAATCATGGGCTGATTGTCTTGACCGCAATTATCCTCCTTTCTAGAAGCACAGTCTTCATATAGAGCAGTGGACCTAGCGGGTTATGCATGGTGGCAACAAACCCATGCTTGATCAAAGGGGTAATCAGCCTTTCTTTGGATTTTCTTTTTAATCTCAGGATTAAGGATGATTTAGATTAATCTCTTTATAGCAGAGATGAGAGATGCCATCAGAGGTAACTTGAGAGTAGTCTGTGTTCATGTCCCTGCTATGTAGAGAGAATGATTGATATATAGCCATTTATAGTTCAAAGAATGGAGCCAACATTGAGAACAGAGGTGAGAAGTAATGGGAGTCCCAGACTTTTGCTTAGTCCAGAAGATGACAAGAACCCAGGCGATGTTCAGCAGTTGGCACCTTGTCTCTCTGAGAGCCTGCTCCACCCTGGTCCTTCCCATAGTTTGGCTGTGTGACATGTACACATACTTCCTTCTAATAGGTTTCCATGGGCTGCCTCTGGCTGCACCTTAGTCACTGACAGGAATATAATAGAATATAGAGAAACAAATGAAAAGCCCATTTCTCTGAATTTTCTCCCCACAAATGCTTTTAAATGGTTCAACCAGATGATTTAGAATAACAAAGGCATGGGCCATCAGATTCCTACTCAAAGGCAGGAGGGTACTCATTTTGAAATATACAGACAAAAGGGAGTTTCATAACATCTGCCTCATGTGCTTGGCTTGGCTTATGGAGATCCATCCTCACAAGTTAACTGAAGGCTGGGAATCTTTAAAAACAGCAGGGGTTCTTTTTTGCAGAATCCTTTCTGCTGCCAGGCCCCTCCAACAATGCAAAGAGCATGAAGAATTTTCTAGTCTGGAAGTAAATTTTCCTAAGGAAGATGGCAATCTGCCCTGCTTCAGCCATGAAGTCCTATTGAAAACTGTAGCTGAACACAAGGGACCCTTAATGACACCAGCATTCTAGGCTGAGTCACTGGCAGCAACCAACAAGTTGTGTCCCCTGTCACCCCTGCTGCTGCCACAAGGGAAACAGAGTTACAATGACTTCTGGGCTCCCAAAGCAAGGTGCTGACTGGTGTCTGCAGTAGGAAGCCACTGGCTGCACCTTCGTGTCCTATGACAGCACAGCTTGGGGGGAGGGCACATTTTCTCAGGAGCTAAGGCCTACACTTTGATGCTCTGGCTGCCCCTGGCTTGAAGTTTTCCCGTCCAGCTACCCTGCTCCTGACACCCGATTCTGGAGAGTAGCAGGGCTTCTGTCTGGTGCCACAACCCCATTTTTTTGAGTTCGTTTTTCTTTGGATTGCTGCTTTGATACAAGTATGCTGTGTCTCTGGGCATAGCCCTGTCTGATCTCCCTGGTGTCCTTATGGGCTTGTTTCTCTTTGGCCCGCAGCTGGCTGGGGCCCGCAATCTCCTGTTCTGTGGGCTTCCCCACAACTTCTCTCTTCTGAGACCTTCCCTGTATTGGGGTGTGTTCCCTTCCCACAGGAGGCACCTCCAGAGCAGAAACCTCATGTGATGACTTGGCAGGGGCCAGACCCTCTCGGGTTTGCTGATCCTTACCAAGGGCAGTTTCACTTTCTTGAGCTAGTCCTTCAGACACTTCTCCGTTTTGGGGTGCACTTGAGGACTGAGCCACTTTCTTCAGGGTGAGATTGGCCTGTGGCTTCTTTCTGGGATTGTGTTCTTTGTGATTTTTCTCCTCCTTGTTCTGGGGGTCTGCTGGCACTGGTTCAGTGTGGCTCATAGGGGAACTGGAGTCAAGTGGGTCAGATACATTCCTAGGAGTTGGCTTGCAGTGGGATTTTGGCTGTTGGGCTGTCTGAGACTTTCCTTGCGCTGTCTGAGACTTCCCAATTGGTATCTTTCTCGGGTATGGTGACCCTTTAGCTGTCTTTCTTTGCGTAAGTCTTTTTTCAGTAGCTTCCTTCTGCTTAGTGGGCTCCTGGCTGTGAGTTGAGGCCTGCAGATTTGGAATCTTCTTACTGGAGACATGGCCTCCTTTGGAAGTTTTCCTTTCCTTTGCAGACTTTGAAGCAGGCCTTGGCCCGGTGTTCTGGGGAAGCTGAGGTTCCTTGGACCGAGCAGAAATATGTGGGAGCTGGACTGTGGGTGCCTCCTCTTCCTGGGGTTGGTTGGGGGTATGCTGCAGGACTTGTTCCTGGATCGGGGGGCTAATAAGTGGGAGCTTCAGCTCACTGGCTTTCCCAGCCTGGGCTTGCTGTGGGCTATGGGCTGTGTGGGGGCTTGGATTTGAGGGCGGTTTAGATTGGGGAGGGCTGATGGAGGGAAGCTTCCTGGGGTCTCCATCCTGAGTTGGGAGAGACCCAGGAGATGGGGTCGGGGTCTTATCTGAGCTTGTCCCCAAAACCTCTTCCTTGCTAGGAGAGAGAAGCTTGGGTGTGGGTCTCCTGCTCTGGAGAGGAGCCAGGGTCTGGGGCTGGGGCAACCTGGTAGGAGCCAGCCGGCTTCTAGGAAGCAAGGCTACTGGCTGTTTCCTGACCTGGGTATGATTTGAGTTTATGGATAAGTCTTGGGGAGGGGATACTTCTGGGTAAGGAGTACTGGCCCGGACAGCTGCTGCTTTGGGGGTTTCCTCCTTCAGAGGTGGTTGAGAGCCCCCAGTAGGCTTTTCTACCGCGGGTTGAGAAGGATTTTCTGGAAGACTGTGAGTGGAACTACTGGGTGTAGCATTGGCTGACTCAGTTCCCTCATCCTGCTTTCTCTGAGGACGGAGGGAAGCCAGGTTGGGTCCCTGTGAAGGTTCAGTCAAGGGTGGGTTGCTAGGGGCTACTTTAGTCTCTCCGGATTCCTTATCCTGGTCTATCTGAAGGCCTGGTGGGGGAACAGGATCAGGATGCTGAGGCATCTCCTGAGATGCAATAGTAGACTGTTCTGCTTTTAGCACAAGTGGCCCAGGCTCCTCTTCAGGGCCACCCATCTCAATGGTTATTTTTGGAGGAAGGCTGGCTGGCTGATCATCCTCTTCCTCCGCCTTTGGTGATGTGTCTTGGGCCTGCTGAGGAATAGCAAGTGTTGAAGAACTGACCTGCTGAGGTAAGTCCAGGTGGATGCTGGGAGAAGGCTCTTTGACTTCTCCCTCCTCAGTTAACTCCTGGTTCTGTGGGGGAGCAGGGTTCTGATTTTCTGGGGCCTTTGCTTCAGTCTGCACTTCCAGGAAAGCCCCTGGTTTTTGGCCATCTGCTTGTAGTCTTGCCAAGCGCCTAGGGGAGGGGACCAGGTGTGCTGGGACCCCAGAGATGGTCTTCTTGCTAGAGGGAGCTCCTGCTTTAATATAAAGAGAAGTTAGCTACAATGGCTTTTTCTTGTTAGAAATTAACAACAAAAATTCTCATTTCTTATTGAAGCGATGGCTCAGAGGTTAAGAGCACTGGCTGCTCTTCCAGAGGTCCTAAGTTCAATTCCCGGCTACCACATGCTGGCTCACAACCATCTATAATGAGATCTGGTGCCTTCTTCTGGCATGTAGGTATACATGCAGACAGAACATTGTATACATAATACATAATTAAAAAAAAAAAAACCTCATTTCTCTTTGGACACATGGGGACCTTTAAAAGAAGAAAACCACATGTAGAACTCCCCTTCTCCTTGAGGTAAACTAAGAAGCTACACTTCTCTAATTTAATAGAAGTTAGGACCATTTCTTAATGAACTGAAAGGTGAATTTAAAATGACTAAACATCCAGATGTTGACTCAAAACCAAATTTGTATCTGTGGATGGTGAGGAGAGTTTCCAAACGAATGAGCTTGGTTTCACTGTTTAATGGTAAAGAAATATTCCGTGAGTGATGTGCAGAGTCCTGTCTCTTTACTAATGCCCTTGAGGGTCACAGTCCAGGAGGAACCCGGTAAGGAAAGGAAAGAAGGACATCAGAAAATACGAGGGTCTGCTCCTGAAGATCAGGGGTCCACATCACGGTCCTCAACCCTACTATCACCCCAGATTTCCCTGGCTATAGAAATGGCTCCCAGAGGCCACTGGCAATACTGACACTGCAGAGATGTCCATCCAATCACACCTTCTCAGAGTGGCTCTGGTCTCCTGGGTACCATCACCTCATCACACACTTGCTCATGAAAGACAGAAGCCTTGACATACTTCTGGTGACCTAAAGACCATCTTAACTCAGCCTAGAGCACCTGGCTGTAAAGTGTGCAGTGGTCAGGGCTAGCACATCAGGCTGGGTCAACCTTGAACAATAGTCAGAGCTTAATCTTGACTAGGCTTTGGTGACCACAGAGTGGTCCATCTCCAGCAGCAAGTGTATCCCTGACCATTGTCCCTCTCCACGGAGAATGCAGGGGTTTGTGTGACTTTGGGTTAACCCTGAGCCTTCTAGTCTGGTTCCCTTACATATACAGTCAAAATAGATGTCCCATTCCTGAGAATGGAAGGAGACAAGTGGGCAGAGTGAAAAGCTTCCCGCAGGGTAGAGTTTCTGATGGTACCCTGTGTTCATGATTTCCATCACCAAATTTGTCACAGATATAAACTAAAACACAATTTTAGATAAGAAACAAGGTTAAATTAGAAAGTGAAACAGTGAAAGCAAATACAACGGGCAAATTTGCAGAGAGCAGAAAATACATCAGAGTTCCCTGGGCAAGGGGATTGCTACTTAGAGAGCATAGAATTTCTGCTTTAGAGAATGGGAAACTTTGAAAATAGGTGGCACTGATGGTTACACAACATTGAGAATGTAGTTAATGGCACTGATTTTCACACTTAATGTGATTAAAATGGAAACTTAGAGCTGGCACGATTGTTCAGTGGTTAAAGTTCTTGCTGCCAAGATTGAGGACCTGAGTTTGACTCCTGGAATCCAAGTGAGGAAAGAGACAATCAATTCCCACAAGTTGTCATTGATTCTCTCTCTCTCTCTCTCACATACACACACACAAGCGCAAACAATTTTGCAAATGTAAAAATTTCTAAAAAATAAAAAATAGCATGTTAATATGCTTACATGATGTATGTAATCATACACGTATATAATTTAAAAAGAAGAGTATAAACAGTGAAATTCAGTGCTGAAGGTACTCTTTTTTAATTTTATTGTAAGACGTACAGGGTTTTCTTTATCTAGTCAGATGATTTAACGATACATGAAATTTGGCTAAATGATACCATACCTTTCACTAGAAGATAAAAACACCACTTTATGGGCTGGCAAATTGCTGCCTTTTCCCTTTATCATTAGTCAGAATTGGGAAAAATATAATTTCATTTCCTAACCTTTATGACAAGAACTCAGGCTGCTCATTAGGTCCACTTCCTTAAAACCCCCCTGGCAGCAGGGACAGAACAAGACAGGTTCTAAAGCAGTGGTTCTCAACTATGGCAAAAGGCCCTTTGTCGAAGAGGTCACCCAAGACCATTGAAAAAACATAGATATTTGCATTATGATTCATAATAGTAGCAAAATTACAGTTAGAAAGTAGCAACAAAACCACTGTAACATGAGGAACTGTATTAAAGGCAGCATTAGGGGGCTGAGAACCAGTGCTCTATAGGGACTAAGGGTGAAAATACCCTTACACTGAGTTGCTAATCAAGTGAGTTTCTTCTTATTTCATAAAAATTATATTGTTAACCTCATGTTTCAGAAACCACGTTTCCTACATTACTATGGGGAAAATAGGCTCATGCCATGCTTGCTTAGTATGCATTTAAAATTAATGGCACATTTAAAGCTTGTCTTCACTGTATATGCACTCAGTGAAAATTCAACTAACCCCTCTTGGTGAAGGTTCAGATTTCTGGGTTTAGGCAGGTGGATACTGACCTCAGGAATGACATCCCTTGGGCTTACTTTCATCATTCTGTTTCATCTTCCTTGTCACGTGGACCTCATCACTGTGTTCCCAGTAACAAATGAGCAGCACATGATTACCAGGGATGAAGCTGTATATTGTTACTTTGCATATTTGGAAACTGTCTTTGTCTCGCACTGACAAAAGATTATCTCTTTTGGAAAGATGATGCTACTAACATGAGATTTCTGTTTGTACTGAGGCTCAACATACAGATGCTCTTAATCCAGTGTGAAAAGCTTTAGCTCTCCAAGCCAGACACGTGAATTATTACAATTTTTTTAAAAGAAAAAGATGATTTTCCAAATTCATTTCTCTATTTGAACTAATGACTACTTGTTAGATTTAAGTCAGAAAAGTAAGGCTTCAGATACCCATCCAGTTATCAAATTGTTCAGACTAACCTCTCCTAGAGTCTTTATTTCACTCTCTTCCCTTTCACATCTTAATCACTGACATCTTCTATACTAAGATGACAGTTTTAACTTCTAGGATATAAATATATATAAATATTCTGATATATCACATCCTATGATATATATCATATAGCTATATATCATGTCATAGAATATACATCTCATATATCATTGAGAAGAAGATCCGAATAACTCAGCTCAGAGCAGAGGTAAAGAGGCAAGGACCAGCTAGGTCCAGTCCAGGATGGTACATCTGCTGGTGGATACCCCTTCTCAGGGACTCTCTAAAATTTCATGGGGATGAATTATGTCTGTGCTCTACGATGATTACTACTTTTGTCAATTTGACAAAAAAACCTAGACTTTCCTGGGGAAGAGAGCCTCAGTGAAGAATGGTACATATTGGCTTGACCTGTGGGAGTGTATGTGGGAGACTGTATGTTAATTGTATGAGAAAACTCAGCAGCCCACTGTGGGTGTTCCCATTCCCTAGGCAGGGGGTTCTGAACTATGTAAGAACAGAGAAATCAAGCTTAGCCCTGGCAAGCAAGTGAGCATGCATGCATTAATTTCTCTTTGCTCTTGACAGTGGATATGACTTGACTTTTCCATAGTGATGCACTCTCACCTGAAACACTTTTTTCTCAAATTGCTTTTTGTTATGACATTTTACCACAGAAGCAGAAATGAAACTAGAACAGGTCCCATTCAACTGGCCCTATCACCAGGTGATCCTCACCCTTGGCAAGGATTTTACAGTCCTGAAGTTCACAGAAGCCACTGGCTTGACTCCTTGGACCATTAGAGATACCCTAAAGCTTATTAAGAAGAACCATACTCATTAGAATTTCAAATACACTAACTTGAATGCTGTCTGATCTCTACAATGCCACTGAAGTGGAAGTTTATCTTTAATTAGCAACTGAAAAAATAACTCCCTCTGCAAATTAACTGTAAACATGAGATAAGGTTTTGCCTTAAGAAAACACTTTTTTTTTTTTTCAGAATATTAAACCTTTCAGAAAAGTAAGGTTCTGTTGAGGATATTGATCTGCTGACTGATTACAACCCATTCTGTCTACTTTTCAAGCCAGGATTTCATTAGCCAATAACTAGATGCCTCAGTTTTGATTAGTAAATGTTTCTGAGTTATATTTTTTTTATAAATTCTATAATTTATACCTTTCATTAAATCAGATAGGCCTCACCTAATTATTCCAAATAAGTAAAATTTATTATACACTATCAAGTGGAAATCTGCTTTCCTGTGTACACAGTATCTTGCCTATTACTTTGCCAAATAGTCACCGCACACTATAGTCACTGATCACTGTAGAGATAAAGAGCTACAGAAGACAGTTATGGAGTCTGCAGGCCATTGTGCCAACTCTTGCTCATTGCCTCTCTGTTCAGAAGCACCACAAAGAAACACACACTTCTCAGTTACCCAGAGGACTAACCAGTGTTTATCCAAATCCACAAGAGGCTGATGCAAAAGCCAGCACACCAATTTATTAATTTACACTGGGAGATGGGGCAGGTTCAGGGAGCCGGGCAGCATGTTCTCACGTAAGATACAGCCCCAATAGGGGCCAGGTCCACCCAGAGGACCAAATTAAAGATCACAAGTTTGCTTAGATAGCAAAGAATTAGAGCAAAGGGAGTCATATTTCCTCAAGAGAAAGTTCCACGGAGGTGCAAGCCTCCCTAGGCATTCTGCAATGCACCCTATGTTGATACACCAAACTTTCTTGAAGTATCTTCTAGTTGGCATGTCATACTTTAGTTATTTTAACATATGAGACACACATAGCAGGACAGTCAAGTAATATTTTTGAGTTTACTAGTACTACACTGATCTCAGTCCAAAATATAAGGAGTACTTGACCTAGGAAGACTGTACAAAATTCCATGTGGCACAGTGTGGGCCTGAGATTTGAACTCTGCGAAAGTCATGGCCTGGCCTCCCTTCTTGGCCTGTAGGAAAGTCATGAGGCAAGCAGAATCCTATTTGGACTGCCAAGCTGCAAAGCTTCAGCTATTTTAGGTTAACATTTTGCAAATATGTGTGTGTGACTAGAGTCCAGTCCATTGAGGGACTCTGGAAAAGATTCTCATTGTAGTGGTAAAACATACAATTCACCATTTCCACCACTGTTAAGGGCACCAGTCAGCACATTAAGTCCATTGACATTGTTGTATGATCACCATCGCTGTCCATGGCCAGAACTCACTTCATCTTCTGAAAACTTAAACTCTACCCATTAAACAATAACACCCCCTTCCCTACTTGAACCTCTGATCATCAGCTTCTATTTCCTGACCCTGCTAATCTGACTGTTCTAAATACTTCATAGAAATGCAGTTGTACAGAATCTATTCGGTTCTGACCAGCTTATTTCACTCACCATACTACCTTCAAAGTTCCTGTCAAACTGTGTGCCAAAATTCCTTCCTTTTTAAGATGAAGTAACATCAAAGACTGTCTGTGATACGTTCTGTATCCATTCATCCCTCACTGGACCCCACGGTTGCTTCACTTTTGGCTAATGTGAATGGAACTGCTATGAATAGGTGTCTAACTATTTCCTCAAGATCTTGCTTTCAGTGTGGCTTAGGGTATGTATCCAGAACTGAAACAGCTAGCTCATGTGAAAGTTGCCAACTCTTTAAGGAATTTACATACCATTTTCTGTAGCTGCTATAGTATTTTACATTCCTTTTAGCACATGGTTCTAATTTCTCCAGACACTTTTTAGTTAGTAACTATCCACATGGATGTGAGGCAAATTTGAGCAGTTCAAATCCATCTCAAATGGTCATGTCCCAAAATTCTAGGCTTAGAATTCCTAGATTTCAAGTCAATGCCCTCACACATCCCTTAACATTTGCTGCTCATGTCCCATGAGGCAAGAGGGGAATGTGCTGTCTATTCTTCAGAACAAGAACCTGAAACCCACAACAGCTAAGGAGCGTGGCTGAGAGAGGGCCCCACCTCCATCCCCACCCCAAACATGTAAGTGAGTTTCCCACTATTCTCTGCAGTGCAACATTTTTAAGACTGGCAGTTCAAACAAAAGGAGTATGAAAACTCTCACACAAAGATTCTTAGATTAAATGTATACTTGATGGGTACAATACTTGTCAACAGGTTAAAATTCCCTAAGGGAAAAGACCTCTGGAAGGCTGAGTTCTGAACCATGAAACCAACTCTTATCTACTGTCCACTTCCAGGGCACCGTCTAATGTGTCCCTGGGATGAGAGGTGGGGAGTGGCTCACTACAGACATGGAGACAGCATAGTTACAGATCCAGAGGGCTGACTCATATACCCCAGAGAAGCATGTAGAAATATTATGAGCCAGCGTCAGCCCAGCTAATGAGCATCCAAGTAACAACAAAGCAGCCTTATTTTCCACCGACAATAAACTTGGTACAACAGAGAGGTTAGTACCTGGAGCCAAATCCTTTGCAGCTGCCTCAGCCAATCCCAGGTATTCTCGAATGAGATCACTTAGCTTTTGGTAGGCAATGTCCAGGTCATCTATAATAAACAACAAATATTTTAATATACCAGAACCATGTCAAAACAGTCACTGTTCAATGGTGAGTGGACTGATTTGATCACTACACTTCATTTTATTACTGTTGCGCTAGAAACAATTCTAATTCTAGTGACATTTCCCTCTCCTATAACCACCACGCCTCAGGTATGGCCAGACCTATGGAGGTGAAGAGAGTTCATGCCCATGATTATTTACACTCTATACAAAAAGGACGTGCAGTACAATAAACGGCATAGCTACAGTAAAGGGAGGTTATCCTAGTGGTTCACTTGAATCATATCCACACAAGGATAGAGTTGTCTAGTTGGCGATAGAATAAAAGCCAAGACTCAGAGCACAGAGAGAATTCCGTGTGCTCCTCGATGTCTAGAACATGGTCAGCATCGTATAGATGAGATCAAAGAACAGCCTTGAGGGACTCTGCACAGCCTTCCTGAGGTTGCCAGCCAAGAAGCAGGGGCTCTGGCCCACACCTGAAGGAACTGCACTCTGCCAATGAAAAGGTAGCTTAGGGGCTAAGGTTCTCACCAGGGTCTTCAGATTAGACCTTAGCTCAGGTGATCTCAGCACTGACCCTGAGCCCTGTTTGCTGGCTTAACCTGCTGAGCAGTCTCTGGGCTAGAGTATTAACTGTGAGCATGTGTAAAACCAACATAGATATGTAATACGTTAACACAACTTAGAAGCTTGAGAAAATGATTAAATGAATCATATAAAATTGTCATTTGCATAATAGCTAAATACCAGTAATATCTATGGCTCAATTTAATGTCCCCATTCCTACCCAGTATCTTACCAAAAAGCTATCAACAGTTTACTTCATCTATCTATCTATCTATCCATCCATCCATCTATCTATCTATTTTTTAAAATTTATTTACTTTAAGACAGACTATCACTGTGTAACCCCAGCTAGCCTGGAACTCTCCATGTAAACCAGGCTGGCCCCAAACTCACAGAGATCTTACTGCCTGCCTGAGCCTCCTGAGTGCTGGGACTATAAGTCATGGACCACCATGCCAGTCCCCCCAGTCCCCCTCCCTTTCAATTATTTCTTTGTTGGAGGGGCACATGTGGCACTCAGAAGACAACTTACAGATGTCTTTCTGGGTGGGGGTGGTGCACACCTTTAATCCCAGCACTTAGGAGGAGGAGGCAGGCAGATATCTGAGATCGTGGCCAGCCTCGTCTGCACAGTTTCAGGATAGCCAGGGTTACACAGAAAAACCCTGTCTTGGGAGGACAAAAGTCAGTTCTTTCCCCCCACCACATGAGTCCAGCAGATTGAAGTCAGATCATCAGGCTGGGCAGCAGGCACCTTTACCTGTTGAGGCATCAGACCACTCCAAGGTATGTCCTTATCTATACAGAGTGCTTACCATTCCTTCATGGATGTATGAAACAGTATAATTAAAAACACATAGGAAGTTCCACATTTCCATAATTTCTCTATCTTTCTCTGGCTTCTGCTCCAAATTAGTTCCATTTTTATTTTTAACTTTTATTTGATATAATTTTAATCGACACAATTGAACGTATTTATGGAACACAATATGGTTTCAGCACATAAATATATTCATGATAAAATGTGGTTAACGATCACATCCTTTGCATCAAACGTTCATTATTTCCTTCTGGTGATAAGATTTGAAATATCTGGGTAAAAATGACATGCTTTATTCTAATACAGTTTTTGAAAATGTTTTACCCAGATACTTTCAAATTTCTAATATTTTTAGTAGTTGGGATTCTTTGTAGTAGTAGGATATGATAAAATTGCCTGGGCTCCATTTGCCCTTAAAAGTTTAAATATATATATTTCAGATGAGATATTATCCATCTCTGTTCTCACAGTATCCCCAAGGGAAAGAATCTATGTGGGCCCACTTTACACCAACTCAACTAGTCACAACTTTATGCACTAATACAGCTTGACCTTCTTTTGGAAACAGTAGGGGACTAGACCTCACAGGTTTTTACCTGCTTCTACAGCCTTTTGCAGCTTGTAATTACAACAAATGGCTCCATTTCCTAAGAATTTCCTTTCCATGACATAAACTGGAAATGCAGTTGACTGTATACTTTAAACACGAAAACATATTTTAAAAAATAAATAAAATAAAATTCTGCTGGCATTACTGACCTGCATTGACCACTGCATCGAAATACCCCGGAAATTTCCGATTAATTTTAATATAAAGGTCCACTCGGGAGACAGCATACTCGGTCTCTGCACGACTAAACAATCCCTTTCTCCGCAAGTATCCCTCATATCTTTCCTTGTCCATAGGTACCACCAAGATATATCGAGGCTCAAAATAGGAATATTTCAAACTTCTTACACCCTAGGTTTTTAAAGAAAAGGGGAAGTCAGAAACAACTATCCACTTTGTACATCACTGTGGAGACGTGATAACTCAGCGGCAGCACACAGTATCACACTCAACATATTTTAATCTGTAGAATCAGCTACTATTTTCCTATGAATATTTCAAGGCTGGATTACTTTTATCTCTTCATCAAATATTAAATTATCATAGGAACTATTACAATTCATTCCACCTGGTTTTCGTCAAATTAATCGTTCTAATGAATATGGCTGTTAGAAAAAGAAAATTGCTGGGCATAAAATAGGAATATTAGTGGCAGTACTGCCATTTTATTATCGAAAAGTAATTTTATTCCATATTTCAAAAGGTATCTTTGAAGTACTAGAAGATAGACATCTTCCCAGGGAAAAAGACACCCATAGTACCCTGCTCTCACCCATCACCTTGGTACCATTGGATAGATATATAAAATTTAGCACCATGATCAGATTACTACAGTCACAAATACAGTCCTTGAGCTCTAGGGATTTGAGGAAGGGATTGCCAAACATGAGTGAGTCCTGTCTACAACATGTCTTCTTTGTAGCAGCTAGACCCTGCTACCCATGTGCTTGGCTAAGTACACACATCTGTGTCGCCTGTCACTTCTCTGGGTCTTATGTCCTGCTCAGCTTTGTTTTGTTTCCCGGCAGTAAATAGACACTCCTGCCATCACTATAGCTGCCACTGCTGCTGGAACCACCAAAGCCACCTTGTTTTTATAGTTTGTTAAGTACTGGCCTCTACCATCCAGGGGCCAGAGCTTCTCCCTCCATTTCCTCCCTTCGTAATACAATATTTAAAGACTGGTTGTAATAATTGCCAAAAGTCATTGTGGTTTCACATTTTACACCCTCCACGCAGAAGGTGGCAGACCAAAGTCAGCATAAGCTGATAACCAGGTGGCCACAGGATGAAGAGGTGTGGACTGTGACCTGGGAGTCTGTAACTTCAGTTCTGTAGTTCCTAAGAACTCTGCACACCCCTCAAACTCCTTTGGCACACGTTTCCTCACGGGGGAAGTGCGGGATTTGTTCCAAGTGAACAGTAAAGCCTTTCCATCTCGAGTTCCAGCATCATCGGTTTAACTCTTTGCTATAACAATCGGTTCAAAGTCTTTGCTATAACAATCCACTAGGTAGAAATACAGGCTTCTTTTAAAACAATTTCTGGGAGAGTTGGTGACACGGGCAATCTGGGAAAAGACACCTCAGCTGGGGAGAAGCTGAAAAAATAAAACAGTTTATAGACTTGACCTCCTGGAAATGAAGAGGAGTAAACTCTCAGGAAGGAAAAAAAAAGGGGGGGGACAGGAGCCATCACTCAAGAAACTGACTGTTGAGCTGGGAAAAATTGGACACAGAGATGGAGCACAGCCACACTCAAACATGCATTAGTTTTTGTTTCTCTCTGTTCAAGGCAGACAATTTTAGAACTGACCTTTAAAAATAAATTTTTAAAAATGAGTAAAGAAGATACAGAACCAATCCGCTGCAAAAAACTAAGCATGGATAATGATGCAGAAAGTTAGAGAGCTGAAGGAACAGTGAAGCTGGGGAACAGTGAGCCAAAAGGAGTCACCATCTCCTCTGTGGCACTGCAAAGAAGCATGGGGCAAGCATTGTCAGCAGAAAAGAATAGCCTTGGTACATTTTGTTCTATGTTTGTTTAATTAAATTTATTTAGTTTGATTATAAGATTTTATATTGCTTAGTAAAAATAATTTTAATAACTGTCACTTAAGACCTATTTCATTTAGTTAATGTTCTTCAAACAAGCAGGTGGGAAATCCATAGGTTTCCTCTGGTTCACAATTTTGGAAAAATATCTATACATTCTAATTTGAGAGGGTTGTTGTAGGTAGTTGGGATACAAGCGAGGAACAAAAATCTGAAATCTGCGAGTCTAATTTGCCGGAAGTATAAAAGCATTGGGTCCCATAAATGTCCAGAGCCAAATGACTGCAACTCCACACAGCTCTGTGGAGAATGAAGGAACAGGGTAACCACTCAGGCTGACACAGTCCTGAGGGTACAGGAGACCCATTCCTATACCTACTTCATATAAAAAGGCACGCTGTGATAACAAAGGGATACATTAGTGAGGAAATAAAAGGTAATAAATCTTGAATGGAGCTGTAATCTAAAGCTTAACTTTCACAGGTTTTACATCCTCCACAGTGACAAGAAACTAAACATTTCATGCTTTTGTAGCATTTCTCTTGTGCCTAGAAATATGTTATCCAGATTTTATAGCCCCAACTTCAGAAATGTAACACACACACATGCACACACAGTTGAATGAAAAATACTTACTTCTATTTCCATATGAATGCAGCTTGCTAATCCGTCTCTTGCAATACCTTCTACAGTGTCCCTACTTAATCCATAATTGTGATTACCATAATTAAATGTTAAAATAAATTTTCCCTGGAATTAGAAAAATACAAAGATTTGGATATACAGCTGCTATAATGTAATAACAATCACTTGATGTCTTACTTTCATCTAATTCCATAAAGCTGAAACGTTATTAGTGAGTACAGAAGAATGACACAGTCATAGTAGGATGATGGACCAACACTCAATTCTGATGTGAGGTTATTCAGAATTCTACCTGACAAAAGTAAGGTTTATTGAAATAATCTACTGACAAAATATTTGAGGAGGGTTATGAGTGGAAGCTTCTGGAAGACCAGAGCATGATGCTTGCTTACCTATTTCCTGCCAAATTCACATCACAAACCTTCGCTAAGGAGAGGGTAAAACTTATGGCTTGCCCTTTCCCTTGCAGGTTTGCATCCATCCTAGGCCTCCAGACAAGGATCCTAATCCCAAATTCCTTGCATTTCAAGATAAGCTATAAGAAATGAATGGATAATCCTGAAAGCTGTGGACATCCTTAAAGCTTAAAAAAAAAAAAAAAAAAAATCAACCCAGCCTGGTTTTCCTTGTAAAGATGGCTTTTTATTAAAACTGCCCCAGATGTTAGTCAACAGAATTGTTGCCTGCCCTATTGTCATTTAAACATTAATACCACCCTCTCTGTTTATTTTGGAGACTCATTTCCTGTGACATCTGTATTCCCTTATAAAAAGAAAAGAAAATGTAGGTTTAAAAAATACAACCCTCAAATTATGACTTTTTCTTTGACAATCAATATATTTATAAAACCATTAGGCCTAACCTAAACTGGGAAGCCCATAACAGCAGAAGGAATAAAAATGTGGTTGACCTTGGTAAATATGCCTTCTGAAACATATGACTTCAGAATAAATAATGTTCAGGGATGCATCCAACCCCATCAAATGGCAGGAGCATCATTAAAAATAGCAGGCAGCTAGAAGTCTAATACTGCTGCCATTAACAGCCGCAGCAGCCCCAGAGTTTCTTGCTACTCTCCTGGCTCCAGATGTTCTGCAGAAGTGTATAGATGACAGGCTGGCTATCTGCCAGAGGAGAAGTTTAGGCAGGAGATACAGGATGCCTTCTAAGATTGGGTAGGTCCCTGGGGATTGTGTATGGCTGTGGCAATGATGAGGAAAATCATTACAATCAAAGTTAAAAACCCAACAACACATGCCATTCATTTTTTATTCTTTCAATATCATAATCTGTTTGTTCTTTAAAACAAAAGTTCTGATTATTTCCCACATGTATGTATGTATTTAATTTTGTTCATCTATGAATGCAGACAATGAGACTATGGCTTACCTTTCATACTTTAGCTTAGCTACCATGTGTGATGATGGTTAGGTTTGCATGCCAACTTAGAGAGTGATTAGGGATGAGATTAACATTGAAACTGGTGAACTTGGAAGAAGCAGACTGCCCTGGAGTGTGGGTGGGCTGCATCCGATCCCTTTAAGTCTTGTAGCATACAGAAAGGTGAACCTTTGGACCTCACCATCACTGCTGGCTCTCCTAAACACTCTGCAGCAGGTTCCAGTTTTCCAGTGATACTTCCACTAAATCAATCTCTCTTACCATATATATGTGTGTGTATGTATGTAAGTGTGTATGTATGTACATATGTATATATATGAGAAATATATATAAGAGAAATATATATATATAAGAAAAAGATTATACAAATACACACATACACACACACATCCTATTTACTGGTTCTGCTTCTCTAGAGAGTTCTAATATTGTGCCCTGTCTCCAAAATGTGTACCTATCTGAATGGTTTTTCAGATATGCTTGTTTACTTCCTCTGCGGGTCTCATGAACATTTTCTGGAAGCATGCATGGTTGGAAGAGACCCTGCATTGTGCATATTATATAAAAGATATCACATCCAACTGATTTAAGCATGGATGATGCAATTCCCCAGCCCTGGCCAGTCACACTCCTAGTGCGTATGGGTTTCTGTCACACCACAGAAGCCTCTGGTGGTTTTATTTCCACAGGAGAGGAAGTGGACTAAGTGTGGTTCCTGCATAAGGGGCTGATGTGTCTATCTGGGGACTTATAGGGGAATGATATGCTGGTTGGAGAAAGTATTGGTTGAAAAGACGTGAACAAGGGAGTGGGTGGAGGTCTAGATGCTTTCTCTGTCACAGCAACTAGATGGGCCTGCTTACAGTAGGTGTGTGTGGGCAGACAGACCACAATGTTTGTTGAGAGAGCCAGGCAATCTGGCAGGTGAATGTGTGGAGGGCCGTTCTCAACAGAAGGCTGAGAGTGTGTGGGCATGATCAGGAGGCTGACAATGTGTCATGAATTTATGACTCTCTAGGCTTAGCTTTCTTCGTGAAACAGTGTCATGCTCTAAGGAAAGAGATCAGAGGTGAAACTCAAGTTGATGAAAATTAAATCAGAGTAATACATGTTGGCAGAGACAGGAAAAATGAGTACTTCTCAAACACATGGGGATTTCTGTGGAGCATTAAACCATAAAGCTAACTGTAGCCTAGGAATGCAGTGATTTCTTAGACCAGGGACTGGACAGACTAACTTGATTATAGTCCTGATCAGCTAGGAACATCATGGAGCAGGTGGTGCATGTGGAGAACATATAAACCAAACTCCCAGAACAAATGCCCCACTCTAACAGCAGAAATTAGTATCCATGATGGGATTCAGGTAGCTTCCATCCTAGGGTTCTGAAAAAAACCTTCTTAGTACAGGGATGACAAACCTCAATTCTCTTTTAAAGGCTGTTAGAAAGAAACTTCCAAAAACTCTTAATAAATCAAGAAGACCTATCAAAATACAGCCCTAAAAGAAAGGCCTGTGAGGTCTGAGAAGTTCTTTGGACAAGGTTATAAGGAGAGCTGAGGGGAGTGTGAGACTTGCTCACTTGCACTTCTCTGAGAGTACAAGATGGGCCTTGAGAATACGCACCATTGTAGAGTTGGCTGTCCAAAACTAAACTAATGTAATTGCACAACCAAAGCTTAAATGTACACTGGAGATTTAAGCCAGGTCCATTGTTTTGGGGTGAAGACAGAGAAAGAAGGGAGGGAGAAGAGAAAAGAGGGTGAGGAGATGTGGTATCCCTGGCTGACCACTCGGCACAAAGAAAGACTGGTGCTTCACCTGGTGCTCAGTAAGCGTTATACAAGGATGAAGTGGTGTGTGCTTCATTTAATGATAGGAAGGACTGTGATGTAGGCAAAATGAAGGCCCAAGTGAAAAAAAAGTACAAGGCACAGATTTTCTAGGAGTTGTGCTGATCAGAGATGCTCTTTCAAGGAGAATGAAGTCAAGGTGGGTATGTATTGCATTTAGCGTGTACTTAAAACTGGGAAAGCACATTCTGGTTATGAGGAGTCCCTTCCATGTGAAGGAAAAGAAGAAACAATGTTTAAGAAAATGTAGTCAAACAAAGGATTATGACACCGTCAATAGTGTGCTCATCAGGGTTGGAGAAAAACTTTCAAATTGAACCAGATTTAGGAAGTGCACAACACTTATATTTACCTTTTTAGAAATCACTGTTTCCTTATATTTCTGATAAAGGACATGTATTTCTTATGTGGAAGAAATAAAAACATGGAACAGCCTTACCATGCTCAGCATTTCATCAAAAACTTCTTGGGAGATAAAGTGATAATCAACTCGATCGCCTTCACCAAAATAAGGCAGTCTCGTGGTGTGGCAGGCCCTGAAGTCACAGAGACAGTGATGCAGTCTGTTTTCATGAACTTCAAAGTCACAATACAAATGCTTTCATGCAAAGAAAGTTGAAGAAATGAAATGGACACTGTAACCGTTAGACTACATATCAAGAAATTGCTGGACACAGCTGAGGGGATGTGAGCACGAGGCATTCCAAGAAGTCACCACTATGCTCATGTCCTGGTGAGTACATACTTCCTATCTCATGACAGCATCACCTGCCACAAGTTCTCATAACTAGTCTTCTTGGCTCCACTTTTCCTTCTCTAAGCCTTGTTTAAAACTGCCTACATGGTACTTTTCTTGAAGAACAGCTGGAAACATTTGGCTCCCTGCTTAGAGGTGATCAGAGACCTATCCGTCTTCCTAGCACCTGCATTCCCCATTGTTTGTTTGGGGCCCATTTCTTCCTCCACTTGCGGGCAGAGACACCTCATTCTCGCTGGACTGTGGCTTTGGAACCAAGTGGCCACACCAGGATGACCCAGTCAACTTCTGTAACAACACACCAATGAGGTGTAAAGCTGAGCCTCAAAAGCCTCCACATTACAAAGTCAAAAACAGGGGTTTAAAAGTTATATGACTGTTCCCTTTCTAATATAATCAAGAGTTAACTGTACCAGGACGTTTCCACGTCTCGTGTTACATTTACACAGTTGATGCCAGAAAGAGCATATTCAAAACATGGTGACACTTGCGTTGTGGGAATCCACTGGCATGTCTTCCTATGCCTGGGCAGAAACCTGTCTATTGGTGTCCCTGACAGTCAGGACTGTGGCCTGGCATCTGTGGCTGTACACCCTCAGCAAAGTCTTTACACTACATTGAATTTACATTTCCCAACAAAGGGGTTGAGCGGCAGGGAGTTTTGAAGATTTTCTAAAAAGAGACCAAAAAAAGAAGCAATTCGAACCATGTAGGCAAGTAAACAAAGAGATGGCTCCAATGATGTGGAGAATGGGGGCGACAGACTTGCAAAGGTTCTGAGACCTTCTATTAAGAAAGACCTAGGATGACCTATGGGCTTTCCAATCTGTCATTCCATTTTTACATATAGAAACCTTCACTGTGTGTGTGCTGCCCGAATGTGAACATCCTTGAAAGGAAACACATCACAGTAAAAGCAACATTTTGCCAAGCTCACTTAGGAAAAGTAGTACCAAGTTTAACTTATAAGGATTTCTTTGGGCCATCCCCTTCAGCATCTGCCACTTCCTCTGCATACATGTCTATGACTTTATTGCGAATTAGTTTGCTAGTGAAATCATGTTAAATCACAGCTTGAAGTGAGAGCCACATTCCCTGTTAGTTTCACGTTACCACAAAAGGACTGAGGTAGAGACTAATGAGGAACTGCATCTCTAGATAAAAAGGATTAAGGGGGCTTTGGCAGCCCAGAGAGGGCTGTCATGGTGGCTGCTAACAAGCCATACTCATGAGAACGACATTGCTGGGAAGCAAAGGTGTTTGGATGGCCTAATAATGGCATTCTAAAGTTCCTAGGGCAAGATGACAGGGTGAAAAGATGTTTAAGAAGAGTGAGCAGGTGGTTGAGGAAGTAGACCGTCTCAGTGTGACTTGGCAGCACAGATTTAGAGCCTCAGTTCTGGACTAGAGTGCCTCAGGAAACCATGAGCAGGGCAGCAAGTCCTGTACTCAGATTCAGGCAGAGCGTGGCTGTGAGCACGATTTGAGCACGTGATAGAGTATGCTGTACTGTCAGGATTTTTCTCAGTGTTTAGCCACGAAAGCCCATGTGTCCCAAAGCCTCTAGAAGGTTAATGGCATTGGTCTGCACACCCAGTGCAAATACATATCAAGAAATTGCTGGACACAGCTGAGGGGATGTGAGCACGAGGCATTCCAAGAAGTCACCACTATGCTCATGTCCTGGTGAGTACATACTTCCTATCTCATGACAGCATCACCTGCCACAAGTTCTCATAACTAGTCTTCTTGGCTCCACTTTTCCTTCTCTAAGCCTTGTTTAAAACTGCCTACATGGTACTTTTCTTGAAGAACAACTGGAAACATTTGGCTCCCTGCTTAGAGGTGATCAGAGACCTATCTGTCTTCCTAGCTTTGTCTTTGCCCACCCACTTTCCTACTTCAAGCTTAGTCTTCAGAGTTGTTCAACAGCATGCCCTCTCTCTTAACAAAGTGTGTCCATGCCTCGCTAGGATGGTGTCTCCATCAGGCCCTAGAATGTCCTCTGCCATCATGGGCTCTTTACTTCCCTGATAACAGAACTCAGTAAAGTCTCTTATTAGACAGCATTTCCTACATACACCCCATCCAACATTCACTTATGAAGCCCTAAGAATGGGGCCCATATTTACCCATTTCAGTTTTATCATTGGTACATGGCCATGATCATTATGTATTACTGAATAAGTCAACGAGACCTGCTACACGGTTGTCATATTTTTATAAATGGACACATCAGAGTAGACTAAACTTAAGACTACCATAGCTCCTACTGTCTCATATAGCTAAACAGAATGTGGGCTTTGTACTTTTAATGCTAAAAATAAAAATATATTTAGAAAAAAATTAATATATATATATATTTAGTAGTCAACATCACAAAAAAACTAGTAACAATAGAGATTATTATAAAGCAAAATAAAGTTTGTCTTTAAGGATGCTTCAGATCATGTGACTGGGTTTAAAACTGTAAGATGGTCTTGTTTGATGTGGCCTTCTTCATTTAACACTTTTCCAGGAAGTCACAGCATGTATGGTAATGTGGAGTTAGAAATAATTAGACTTCAAAAGCAGTATATTTTTATCTCTGGGCCACCAGTAACTAACACAGGTAAATAAAGGACATCTGACCTATTTCTAAACCAAGAAGAATTAGTAATACCAAAGCCTAATGTCACAGTAGAAAACTTCAGCACCACCATTCTGTTATACAACAGAATTATGCTCTTTATTCACATATTTGTATGTGCAAGTTAATGTGAGAAGTTCACTGAACGCTTCAATCATGGTGAATGTAATTTTAAAAAGAAAAATACCAAAGAAAATATAATAAGTAGGAGGGAAAGAGAAAAGCCATGCAAAGGGAAAAAAAAAAAAAAGTTGCGCATGCCTTCTTTCATTTAATTAAAAATCTAAAATGTTTGTGGGATAAGGACCATTAAAAGGAAACTGTAAATGAGAGCAATGGCTTGTCTCAAAAGATGTTCCTTGGCTTATCTTTAGTTTTAGTCAGAAAGTGGCTTCATATATGACAAACTATCTAGCTTTTCCATGGATGGACTCACTAGCTACCTAATGCCCTTCTTTGTAACCCAAGGACATTGTCTTTTACCCAGACATTGGTACAGTTTTTAAAAATGACTTGCCACTGAACAAACCAGGCTCTCTGTTTCCTCAAAGATGCTGAGGAACAGTGGGTAGACATACTTTTGAGCCTGTGGAAGAGGTAGAAGTTGGTAAAACGCAGTTGGTAACAGTTTGATACTCATCACCAACTCCAGTCAGAAGAGAACTGCAGTGGCAGCACCAGCAGTGCAGGCACGAAGCCCATTCTGAGGCTTTGGCATCTCACCCTGCACACACAGGTGACACAGTCCATGATTTAGGGCAGGGGTTCCTTACCAGATCAGACACTGCACAAAGGAAAGGACCTCAGCAGTCTTTTCTTCACTATATCATCAGGGAGTGGAACATGGAAGGAACTCAATAGATGTTACCTGAATGACTGAATCCATCCAGCCACTTCTCCACAGATCCACCAGAAATGCCATCTCTGCTTCCTGTCACTGTTATTTCAACTAAATTTGCATACATGGCTATTAACTTGGCTGTCCATTTGTTCAGTCAGTCAGTCATTTAATAAGTATTGTCTTAGCAACAGAGACCTTTTTAAGATCTTCCCTGTGGAGGACAGCAGACAGTGTGGACTTCTCCAACCTTTCCCCAAACCTCTGAATAAGGTTGTTCTAATGGTTTTATATATATATATATATTTCACATGTGTACTAAGCACCTGTCAGCTGTTAGACACTGAGAACTCACTGGTGAGAAGGCTGAGATGGCTACTCTTCTACCTGGGCTTAGACACACCACGGAAAAAGATCCTAAGTAAAATCAAATCAGGAAGGGTAAGCATTTTAATAAGAAGCATTTAGGGCTGAGTGGAAATGAGTAATTGAGCAAGATGAGAACATAGGAGCAGACTGTATTAAAAAATTTTAAGGGTAAGTTAATAAACATTTCCAAAAAAACATATCAGGCCCAATACACTTTGGCCAGAACATATCACTCATAAATAAAAAGGACCAGGCCACCAACTATAGCCAGGTGCCGCTACAGACATGGCAGGAATAAAAGAAAGCCTTGGTTCCCTAGATGGCTTTGGTTTGCTAAAAGATTCCAAATTTACACCTAGCACAATGGTAGCATATACCCTTCATCCCTCGTCTGACCTTCCACTGCCTGTGCTCATCTTAAGTTTAAAAGCAGGCTGAATATACCACAAGAACATAACAGCACACTAAGGTTTTTTTTTTTTTAATGCTAGCATTAACATTTAGCTTATTTTTGTAACTTTGTGGTATTTATATTCTACAGTATTTATGTCTAGAAATGTCCAAATTTGTGCTGTAATTTTAAGTATCTAAATAAACAGGCCTTTTAAATAGTATTTACATTGTTTGAGCACACACAGCCTTGGGAGGGGACTTTTTCTGTAATGGCATTAGAAACTGATTTTTCTTATTGGCCTACACAGCTCTGGAGTGACATCTTCAACTCAGTGGCAGACACCACTAATTTCAAAGCAATTCCTTTGTCACATGTAAGGACCAAAGAGGAAGCAAGTCAGATACTCACAGTTCAATTCTAAATGTGATTTACAGAAGCTTCTAAAACACTTGCAATTCCACTGGGTTGGTTTTCTCAGACGGCCTTTTTCGTGTGTGTGTTTTTTGCTTTTTTGTTTTTTTCTTTTTGTTTGTTTGCTTTCCCCCTCTATTTTGATGCAGGAAACTTTGAGCTTGTTGAGCCATGGGAGGGAAGGGACAGGAAACACCTGTGTTGCCCCCTCCCTGCTGCTATTTGCCTCCAGAGAGGAGAATCAGAGCTCCAGACTTGCCAGCCTGTCTACCAGGCCCAGCTTGGGGAAAGCTGTTCCTGGAAGACCCACACTGTCACATTGTATGTGATGTATGGCAGTTCCCTCCTGACTGAAATGGTCCATCCCAGGGAAGCTCATTAAAACTCAGGATGAAAGTCCCCAAAATTTCCAGACACAAGATTCACAAGCAGAACTCCCATTGTCCATCCCACTCCTCAACCCACCCCTGCTCTCCTACCCACTCCCATTTCCCCACGCTCCATTCCTGAGGTTACATATGCAGCAAGGACTGCTGAGGACCTGGTAAGGGGCTGCAGGTCGTGGCAAGAGCTGGAGGGTCCCAGCTTTTCTGAGTCATCCCCATGCTGAGATGGGATTTGGTGACACAGCAGCTTCTGAGTCATCCATGCTACTGTTAAGTAACCCCAATAAACTCACTGGCGCAATCACTACTTTTGTCTGTCACAGAGTCTTTGTCTGGAATGAGTAGACATTTGATCACCTCTCCCCAGAAAAAAAAAGTGGCACACAACAGTAAGACAGTAGAAGGAAAGTGCCTTCAAACACCAGTGTGCTGAGTTAAGACCAGTAGTTTCAAATCTTGGAGAATTATTTGAGTTGGCACTGCATTAGCTTAAGTATCTGAAGAATTGAAAAATAAAACCCATGTAGATTAAACTACAATAAATGGCAAAGAAGCTAACAGATCCTAGGTGGGAAAGGTGTAAAAGGAATGCCCTTGCTTGTTTATTTGTTTGGCTGATTGGCTGGTCTGCTGGTCACTGACATATTTTTACTACTTATCTCACCAAAATTAAATCTTTTGTTTCTTTTTGATAATTGCTAGGTTCTTCTATAAATGGCATATACTTCAATAATCATCTCTACTACATGAGTTAGAATGACAGGAGAAGCAAGGCTCCACGTCATACCACTCCAACTGTAGCAATAAATGACCTTCAAGAATACATTAGCATGCTCTGTATACATAACTTCTGAGGCATTGTCATCTGCCTAACAATCACTTTACTTACCACTTCTAGATTTGAAATATAACTTAAATAAATTGCTGTGTCTGTGTAAGAATTTGCTTAAAGCAGAGTTTGCAACATCTGAGAACTTTGTATAAAGAAACTATTGGTATCCCAAACAGGGTGGAAGACTCTTCGAGACTTACACACCAACAGGCAGACTTACCCATATCTAAAGTAAGTATTAAACTGTCTGCAGAGGCGGTGGGCAAGTTCTCGTTTCCCACAAGCTTGAGGACCAGTTAGTATCAGCATAGGATAAGGGGCATCCAGACTTGGCAGAGTGCTGCAATGAGATCCAGCAGAAAGATGGTGTGTTAGCTATCTGCACAAGGAAAAGTCTCTACATCACAGTCATAACTACCAAGCACTTGCTGAATGTAGAAAGTGAAAGGACAGCTCCACTTTTCAGAAGCAAATTACAATACACCAAAAATAACGTTTGGGGCTGGAGAGACAAACTAGAGGTTCATTTCACTTGCTGTTCTCACATAAAGACCCAGGTTCAGTTTCTGGGAGCTCCTAACCAACTCCAGGGAAATCTAATGTCCTCTTCTGGCCTCTACTGGCCCTGCACACATATGGTGCCATGCATATACTCGAGCACACATGCACACGCAACGTAAAATAAAATATAACCTTCAAAAATACAACATCAAAGGATAGATAATAAGGTAAATATACAAATTTACCTCAATTTACTTTACCAAGCTTTTCTAAAGGAAAAACATGGCAGGACACTGCTAAAGTATTCCTTCCAGAACGAATCAACAAGCAAAGTAGGTGAATTATGAGGTCAGTTGAACATCCATATCAACTGCCTTAGAACACAGGTATGCAAGGCAGGCCTTGGGGTAACAACAAAACTACCCCTGGGCAGCAACTGCATGTCAGGCGCTGCTCTGCAAGTTCTACACACCCTCACGTAATTACCACAAGAGCTAAGGAGGCTGTTCTTATCATTCCTCATTTAACACAACCTGGAGGAAAGAAAGGAAGATTGACTTGCTCAAAAAAGAGGAAGGGCTGGTACATGACTCTAACAGGAAGACTACGATAAAAAAAAATAAAATCATTGCCTGGCATAGTGGCATACCCCTTTAATCCAGTACTAAGGGAGATGAGAGGAAGGAAAACCTATGTGATTTGAAGACCAGCTTGGTCTACACAGCAAGTACCAAGCCAGACAGAGTTATATAAAGAGGGCCTATCTTAAAAAAATGAATAAAATTATCAACAAAGGCCTGCCTAATTTACTAAGCCTTATATATGCTCATGAAACATACTATAGAAATTGTTTGATTGCATAGCTGAGGTGTGGATTCACTGAAGGTTCTACAAAAGCCGGGAAGCAGCATGGGTTTCTAACCTGTTTGGATATGCATAAATACAGGGAAAGCTTGAGGGTAACACCAATGGAAAACACACATAACAGAAGGAGATGAAGTGTCTCCAGGAAAGTGCGGACTGCCTAGTATTGGAGCCTGTGCAGGAAAAGGAATCATCTAACAGATCTGTGGACAGGAATCCTACAAGCGGCCTAGGACCCACTGAAATCAGACAGGCTGAAACTGACAATCGCAAAAAACTGCTCATGAATATTCACAGCATCTTTATTAGTGGTGCCCCAAATTGAAATCAGCCTAAATACCCTTTCACATGTGAATGGTTAACCGAATGCAGATACACCAATGCCTGGAATGCTACCTAGCAATAAAACACTAATTCAACCACAGGGATGAATTTCCAGGAAGGTACCCTGCACAGAGATGAGAGATGATGAAGATGCAAGGGAAAGAGGAGCTGCAGCTATCTAAGGCACCACAGGAACACTTGTGATGAAACGGCTAAGTCTTGAGTATGGTGCTCCAGTGACTGAGTCCTAATAAAACTTCACAGAACCAGTAAGAACTGAACACAGGAGCACCTGAGGGGCTGGAGAAAGCTGGTGACTCAAAGGCTTCCAAGTCAGTCTCCTGGTTGTGGTATCTGATTAACAGTTGTACAGGACACCAGCACTGCTGAATTCTGGGGGAAGTCCATCGGAACTATTTCCTACACCTGCATGCGCACCAGTGTCTCCCTCAATGTAAATCTTCAAGAAAAAAAGTGACAACTATTGAAAATAGGCAAATGAAATCCTCCTGACACCCCCTCCCCCAAATCAAAGCAACAGAACATGAAAAATTCTTCCCAGGTAAAAAAGTAGCCCAGAACAAAATCAAGGCCTCTTGAAGAAATGCCCAGTGCCAGCATTGGGGCAAAGCATGTGCAGGATGATTCTGGGGAAGTTGGCCACATTCAAGATCAAAAAGCTATCAGTGACTGCCAGGCCACTCACGGTTTGTCTGCGTCATTTCATCAGGCATCCTCACTCCAGTGATGCCAGGTGAGGAGACACTGATCCTCCAACAACGTAATATACAATTGACAAGGCCAGGTGCTCACAGCATCTATGCGCTACTCCAGGTGCCAGGGGCTGCTGTGTCCTGGTGGGGTGGGAAGGGCAATGGCCAGGCTACATGGCAGCCACTGAAGCAGAACTGTGAACCATTCCCCATCATCCTTCAGCATTCAGACATGCCTGTGTTTATCTGGTGGTCAGACGTGACCAAAAAATATATGTTTATCAGACACTGCTACTGATGTCTTTGATATATGTTCTTACATAAACATACCCTAAAGCCTTAAAAAAAAAAGTGGCAACATTACAAATCAGAGAAGATACCTTCTTCCAAGTCAAATGCACTTTTCCTGATGTGCACAAAGGAAAGATAAATCATCTCACCCCGAGGGCTCTCATAAACATGCAAGCCCATCAATGTCAACACGATTACATTATATGCAATAACCATGTCTTGGATTATGAGATAAAACATTCTACTCTCAGAGGGAAGCCAATGTGAGGTGCAGAACCAAACACCACATGAAGAAAAAAAGCTCTTATATCCAAGAGTTTTACAAGTATTTTTAAAATGCCTTTGGGTATTGATAGAATTTCTATGTTATATTTATGGCATAAATGGCCATCTGCTCTGACAGACTTTAAAAAGAAATGGAGAAATCGTGGTAAATCTGTCTTTGGATCTGGAGGTGAGAGACTCAGATTCATGTGTGCAGGCAAGGTGGCTTCCCCCTGCTAGGCTGATGGTGGCTCTACTGAGACTGAGTCAGGTCTTCCTGGGGTGAGCTGGGCTTCCTTCTAGGGACTCCCCTAAAAGTCTGGATTCACAGAGTGCTCTCTGGCAGGAGTATGTAGGATCTGCTTACAGTAAAGAAAAGGTTTACAATAGATGGTGGTATGATTAATTGTGACAACTTGTTTGGACTGCTTATTTGGTCAGCTTGTTTGGAGTGAGAATGAAAGCCTAGGCTCTTAATGAGGTACATCTTTGCATGCATCTTTGAGAGTTCTTCCAGAGAGGATTAACAGGGAAATATGACCCACGCTCACTGTGATATGACCCACGCTCAATGTGAATGTGTGTGGTACTGTATTAGTTATTTCTGTTGCTATGAAAAGTTTACTTTGGGTTCGTGCGTTCGTGGTTCTAGAAAAAGCATCCACAGTGGCAAGGGAAGGATGGCAGCAAAGAGCCAGAGGAGGAAAGTCAGAGATCACATCTTCAACTGCGAATACAAAGCAGAGAGAACAAATTGGAAGCTGGGCAGAGCTATCAGCCCTCATAGCCCTCCCCCAATGATGAGCTTCTTCCAGCAAGGCTGCACCTCCTACAGCTCCATAACTTCCCCAAACAGCACCAACTGAGGACCAAGTGTCCAAATATATGAACCTAAAGGGGAGGTTTCTCATTCAAACCACCACTGGTATGATCCCATGGGCTGGCATCTACGATTGAATATAGGGGAAAGAAGAAAGCCAACAGAAAACCTGCATTCTCATCCCCACATCCCACGTATAAGAAAGCCCTTCTGCCACTGGTGGGAGGTGTTCCTGCCTCCATTCTGTACCACACTGATGGGCCCTAGCCTCTCAAACCATAAGAAAAAAATCCAAACCCACACTCCTACATTGCTTTCAGTCAAGTACTTCATCAAAGCAATGAGAAAAGTAACTAATGTAAACGACAAAAGCTTCCTGTTAGTGAGACAAGGGTCTGTGTTTCTATCCCAGAGCAGAAGAGTTAACAATTTTTATTTTAGAATTCAAATTCTCTGTCATTTGGCTCAGGCTAGCTTGAATACAAGGGACCCCATGAAAACATGAAGGTAAATCAGATAAGCATAATGTCTAGGAAAGCTGCGAGAGGGTGAACAAATAGTACATTCATGTGACCCTTACCCCTGAGAAGGCAAGAAAGCAGCTTCAAAACGTATTTTTAAGAATCATTTTATGTTTTCAAGTGTTTTGCCTACATGCAGTCTGTGTACTACAGATGTGCCTGGAGTTTGTGGGAACAGAAGAGTGTCAGGTCCTCGGACACTCCCCTTCAATTGGAGTTGCAGACAGTTGTGAGCTGACATGTGGGTTCTGGTAATTGAACCTCAGTCCTGGGGAAGAACAACCAGCGCTCTAAACCACTGAGCCATATTTTCAGCCCCAGGGAAGCAGCTTCTATACGGAAAGAATGAGTCGCAGAAGAGAGGTCCAGAGAAATCAACAATACTCTCTTTGCTTGCCCACCCGGAGTTCTACCTGGGGCATCCTAATAAATACCTGTCAAAGATTCTCTGCGGCTGTGACATGCTGTTGACAACATGGGTCAAGTGATCCTGGATGGCCACCACTTCAGCAGGAGGTTGATACTTATTCAGTGCACAAACCTTTACCAGAATTAGAAAGGAAGACATGTTTGTTTCTCAAGAGAACACATGACTGGACTGTCCTTAGATCAAATTCCTAGACATGCAAGCATACGGATAAGGAAAGTCCACAAGCTTGCCAGCCTTGCTCTTAGTCTTCCATTCAACTCTAACTTTCCTAAAATCTCAATAGTGACAGCTAATGTAAAAATTGAGTAAAATCCTTTGATGCTTCTTTATATTCTCTGGGTTGGGAGGAGCTAATGAAAAATGTCAAAACAAAATCTCTGAAGTGCGCAATTAATTTTAATACAATAAGCAATCCAACTTCTAGGATGAGAAGAAGGACTACAATGTGTTAGTCAAGATTCCATATGGTTGATACCAGAGAACCATTTTCTGAGTCCTTTTGCCCCTTACATTCTGCAGACTTGCTCCTCTTTTCCCTGATTTCTGTAGCAGGCCCTTTCTTGGATGTAGAAGCCTCTGTCTTTATAATCCTCCTAAATATATTATCCCTTTACTGACCAGTGGCCTTCATTTTAATTCTACTTGCAAAATGTTAAAAGAGGCATGTACACTGTAGCTGGAGTGTGGACACAAGGATGAGGAAGCATCTGAAACTATTTTTTAGTCTGGGCTGCAGAAAGGTGTTTATAGGATGGAATATCTGCCTACCTATACCCATCTCAAATTGGATCCAGCATAAGAGACCCCTCAATAGCAGCACTTTTGCCACAGCTGTGGGAGGGAGGGAGGCAGGTGCTGGCCAGCACTCAAAAGCTCATTGCTTTGGAACTATATGGACCTTTGTAAAGAGCAGAGTTAAATAAGCTACAATATCAGAGTAGTGATTTAAGCAGCATTTGATTATACTGAATGACACAATGTATTTCATCGTTAATTTCCAAAATAACATAGATAGAATTTCAAACTCTGCCATTATACAGCCACAATTGGTCATGGGCAGCAGCAGGGTACCTGACTCCTCGCTGCCAGACTTTCCATTGTACCCACTGAACACCTGTCATTGCATGTGTTAATGCCCAGCTTAACTTAGGATTCAACTGACAAATCCCAGGACAAGGAAATTGTTCCTAAATAAAGAATTAGTTTGCATACTGCTATGCTTCTTACTGATTGGTTACACTAGTCCTGCTGCAAGCAGTGTGAGATTTTGGACATATTAACCAGAAAGCACATGAAGCAATATGATTACATACCTTTTCTTCCACTTTAATCTTCTGCTGATCTAATTCTGTCAGTTGCAGCAGCATAAATATTACAAAGAACCAGTATTCAAAGTTGTCCTATTTAAAACAACAAGAGGACTATTCAGTGGCTTTCTTCTTCCCGAGGTCAGCAAGCACCAACCTTTTATTCAAGGGCCTTTCCATTCTATCTGGGCCTTTCAAGACCTGCTGCCATGACCCTGTCTCTGCCCACCCCCCTCCAACACACACACAGGGCTCATGTTCACCAGCCCCCTTAAATTAACAACCAAGATAATGTGTCCTGTAGTTTATAAAGCTCTTTACTAATCTCCATGAGGTAAGCAGGGTAGCAGGATTATCCTCTGGTGTAAAGAGGCTGAGCCTCACAGAGGTGGGAAGCCTATCTAAGACTCCAAACCTTTTTCTCCTAATACCAAAGAGTTTCATTACTGAAATTAATGGCATTTGACTATTTATGATTTCATTACAGGTTTATTATTTATTGTGCTCTTTTGTATTAGTGGGGATCATTGATTATGAACTTGTCTTACAACAATAAAATGGAGCTTGCTTAGGAGCAACTTTCTCTTTACTCCCTGCCAGCTGTTAGAATTACCTGACTTTAAGGTGGTAACTGAGGATTTTGTTTTTGTGTTTTGTTTATATAAAATGTTTCACCTCTCTTGTGAAGATCTGTAGGAAGATATATAGAGGAGTAAGATGCCTTTCTTCCACAGATGGGAATGCATGAGAAGAATAACAGGATCTTTACCTAGGGTCCCAACACGAGACTCAGGAAATGGATGCTAATAACCTGATTGGATCACTCCTCATTGTATTCATGAGTGAACCACACTGCACTCCAGAAACCTGTCTGCTTATTGTACAGCAGTTTAAGCATTTTAAAGCTTCTCTGTCATACTTCAAAGTGTAAGTGTTGTGCGAGTTTGTTTCTGTAGGAGAGGTTTTGTGATGGCCTTTTGTACAGATGCAGAGCACTCCCCAGAGGGCAGAGTCTGGGTGTGGTGGCCCCTTTGGACCTTGCTCCTTCCTTCCTCTGAGATGCCTTTACATTGTCTGCCATTGGTCCCTATCTACTTTTACTTTTCAATATTTCTTTTTTATTTCTGATTTGATGTTTTCACTTGTCTAGACATATCCATCAAGATATAAACAAAATGAACACAAGAGAAGCTTACATAGTCAGGATTCTGTGAAGGCAAAATGGAAGATTATGGGTAAAGAAGAAAGCCTAGATGGACAATGAGTGAGGGAAGAGAAAGATGCGTTAGCAAGGGAGGAAAAGAGAGTCCTGGAAAACTGTCCCTGACCCTTAGATCTCAGAGGTTGTAGACCCCTAGCGACTGTGTTATTTTAGTCTATAGTTATTTTATAGCAGTGCCAATTCCATGGCTATATTCCAGGCAAATTACTTTGGGCATCCACTCTAACACTGCCTTTCCTCTCCTTTAAAATAGGAACCACATTCTGTCTGAACCTCTGGGTTCTTTATTCATGATACAAAAGAACGCTGCTTTACAATCTTAATTCTCTGTTGTAATGTTTAGCTACACTTACCATCTGTCTTAAGGGACTAAGAAGAGCAGATAAGTGGCTTTCATTTGTAGGCTTTAGTGGAACTGGGGCAGTTGACAGCTTGTTATGTGAGAAAAATCTTCCTTCTCTAAAACACGTTGTTTGAAGTGTTAGCTATCATAATCGTTTTCAGGGAGGTGGGGGTGGGGGCTGTATTCACATCCTGGTACTCCCAATCAAGGCTAAACTGGAATTCCAAGACTGGTCCTTGTTTCCCTCCCCTCCCCCTGAGGGAAATAAATTCTCACCCGAATTGGATTGTTGAGTAGATTGAGAACTCGAAGGATAGGAAGATTTTCAATGTATTCTATTTCAGTCAGCTCCTTAATCTATTTGATCAAAAAATAAATCTATTATCAACAGACAGTGAGCAAAGATAATAGGGAACACAATAGAATAGATTGGCTCCTTTAAATGTAATTTATTTTAAACATGTCCTGTTGAATATCCAGCTTTTAAATAAGAATGCTACAAAACCATTACAGAACACAGGAATTACCATGTAACTTCAGGAGATGTGAGCACCCGGGGCCACATTTTCTCTTTTCCCTTTGGATTGGAGAATGGTAATCTCCTTATCCATGTTGATTTTAAGTAGAAATAAAAAATAGAGTGTAAAGGAAGAGAAACAGAACAGCCATGCTGTTCTAGCCCTCCAGGCTCCAGCTTCACTCCCCAAGCCAGTTTCTTCTCCCCTGCTTATCTGTGACTGCCTAAGCCTTCTTACTTCTTACACATGCAACTCTGAGCTTTTCACATAAGGATTACTTGACAGTAGAAATTGCATGATTTGTTTATTTGTTTTGAGGTCTATATGTAACCCTTGCTGTCCTCGAACTCACAGAGATCCTCCTGGCTCTGCCTCCCAAGTGCTGGTACTGAAGGTGAGTGCCATTGCCTTGGCTATATGACATATTTGTCATGAGTGTCCACTGCTGCACCTGCTGAATAAGAACTTCCATGTGTAGGCTCTAGTTTACAACGTGAAAAAAAAACAGAAATGATTCCCCAGATGGAAGTGTGCCTTAACTTAACCAACGTACAGCCTGGGTCAGATCGGTCCTGTATCCTTAAAGACAAAGGCTTACTTAAATTCTCTACAGTAAACAACTACAATCTTAGTGCGGACACAGAGAGTGGATTTCTTAACAAATTAGTGTTTCCTACAGAGCTCTGCATGCCTCATAAAAGCATTCTACCAACAGGTTCACACATAATTTCTGAGTTATTCAAACACAAGTGACACCAAAATGCAAATCATCCCAAAACTAAGTCAGGGGTCAAAGGATGTCATTTCCAATAATGTAATGAGAAAGTCCAGCTCCAAAGTTGCAGTATACAACACCCACTCTCTTGCCTCAAAATTAATCTAGCTGGAGTACTGCCGAGCTACTCTATACACTTTTCTCCATATAGGATGATGAGATTATCCTTCAGACTGCCATGTGGACCATTTATCAGAAAAAAAAATCAGTTGTTTTCTATTGTGTTTTCAGGAAGGGAGAAGGTAAATTTGGTTTGTATTCTTCATTCAGAACTTTTGCGTAATGGACATGATTTCTGCGTAGCATGCGGCTCTTGTTCTTGCACTTAATACAAGCAAGAAGACGGAGTTCGCCCTACATTCATCATGTCTCACCAACAAGGTCTGGCCATATGCACTGGCATATGAGAGTGGAAATGGCTACCTTCTTTCCAATGAGCAATCTGATGAGTTACATGTACCCAGCTACCCCACGCCAAGAAGACTATATTAAAGAGATCGTCAGAAAGGCAAACATTACATATAAGAATACTCAAGCTCTTAGCAAAAACATTTCTAATTTCATAAAAACGTTAGTCATCATTATATGATTAAGTGAGTCATAACATTGTCCTGTAGCAGGAACACTATGCACTCATTCTAGGAGATAGTAATACGTATGGTAATCGACCTGGAAAGATCTTGATATGTTCCAAATACCATGACTAGAATAATGATGCTCTTTATAAGATTACCACAAGATGTCATCTGAGATCAAGAGATCTTTTGTGAATCCAACACAAAAGATACAGCTCCCTCCTCACTCCTTGCAGCATAGGGCAAGGCATAAAGAGGAGAGCAGCATGGGCTAGGCTTCCTGCCAAGCTAGGAAAATGCAATACTGCTGCTTGTGCTATATGTGTGCCCCTCTCCTTACAGCCTCGTGTCATGGCAGATGCCACCCCCACAGCTCCCCACAGGGCCACGGACCCAAAACTGTGTGTGCAGCAGCCTTTTATAGCAGGTGTAGGAACGACAGCACCCCAAATAACTGAAAGTAAAACACTGACAAAGTCAGCATTGTTTTCAGAACTTCAGCCCACCACTGTTGTTCGACCTGGCAAACACCCTCTCACTCTCTACAAAGCCTACTAGTTTCTTTCTTTCTTTCTGGTTTTGCCATTTACTTTCTGACCATGTTCTCTAAGCTTCACTACCTAGACTTTTAAAAAGCGATAATATATGTGTGTGTGTGTGTGTGTGTGTGTGTGTGTGCACATGAGTGCTCTCAGCCTTAGCAAACTATTTGATACGATGATTTAAAATATTTCCCACTGCTACATATGTAAGAATCTGTGAAGAAAAGCAACTTTTCAAACTGGGGGATGGATGAATTAGATGATGATGATAATAATAAATGTTTTACTGAAATAGAAATCAACACATGAAGCAATGAAGCATATTTTTTAAAGTGAACTGCAATTCAGCAAAAAAAAATTATTATGGAGATCTCTTTACCATAGGAAATATGAATTTAAATATTTATTTCAACTATAATACAAACTAAATTATGGATTAAGAGTTGACAGCCACTGAGTGTGATGACACACAACCTTAATCCCAGCCCTCAGAAGGCAGAGGCAGACAGAACTCTGTGATTTCAAGGCCATCTAGTGCTGTATAGTGAGATCCTATCTAAAAACACAAAAGAACAAAACCAAACCAAGAGTGAGGGACTGGAGAGCTGGCTCAGTGACTAACAGCACTGTCTGCTCTTCCAGGAAACCAGGGTGCTATTCCCAGCACCCCCACGGCAGCTCAGCACCACCTATAGATGTAGGCCCTCGTTATCTCGGTGATGCTGCATGCAGGGGGCGCAGTACTTATGCGGAAGGAAAGTATTTACATACATAAAACAAACAAATACAAGGCAGAAAGATGAGAGTGAGATATGAAAGTCACCCACTCTTGAAATTGTTTTGTTTTTAGAAAACAATGGCGAATTTAAAAAGAAAAAAAGTTAAAGGTAATAGCAACACGAGAAAATAGTTTAGATAAGCATCTATCACATCCAGAATGGAAAAAAGTTTTTCAAAAAGATAAAAATAACTTAAAAATACACGACAGAAAATGCTGACATATTCTATACATTATTTTAAATGTATAGCTAAAATACCCTACATACAATTAGAAGCAAATTACAACTGCCATAAAGAAAATCATGGATAAGAGAATGGACTGATAATTTTTAAAAAGGAAATAATATTTAACAAAAATGCTTAACTTCATTGATAATCAAAGAAATGTATATAAAGCAGCATACAAAACCAGTTTTCACTACTAGATTGACAATTTTTAATGATCTTATTGGCAAATGAACAGCCAGATAGTCCTATAATAAGTTATCCTAACTTCATAACTGCTGTGGGAGGAGAAAGCATGAACGTTCAAAAAAGATATCAATAAGCTTTATTAGACCCATTCCCAATAATGGCATTTCCAAAAATCCATCATAAGGAAATAATAAAAAATGCATGTAACGATAGATTTATGTATGAGGATATATATTTCAACACTATTTTAACAGCAAGTTGTAAACACAACAATTTCAATAAGTAAATAATTCAATACATCCTGACATATCCATTAATAGCTTATCTTATGCTATTAAATCAGACTTTTGAAATGTTGGGACAATTTCTTTTCTACATGAGAATTCAATGTCTATTGCACACTGTCCCCCCCAATCCTCGTTAGATTAAAGACTAAATAATGAAAACAAAATTCCAAACTTGAAATTAAAAGAAAACATGAAATATGTTAAAAATTAAGATAAGGAAGGTTTATTAAAACAGAAAAATCAGAAATTATAAGAGGTCACAGTTAAAAATAACTCCCAGACTCCCTCCATTCCCCAGCACACAGCGCCACACACACATGAGCCTTGGAAGGTCCAAACTTGGAGGTCTAAAATACCAGGAGCTAATTCTTCTGGTTCTAAAGATGAGGTGAAAATGAAGGGCTGGAAAGCCTGTGATTGCTTTGAAGGACGCCTTCCTTGCCTCTCCCAGGTTCTGGGAAAGCCAGACAGCCTTGACTTGAAGCAACACAAACCCGACCTCTGTTTCTACTTTATCCCTTCTGTCTCTTACAAGAACCCTGGCGGGCTGGTCAGAAGGGTGAGCAGTTAGGAACACAAGTTCCATTCCCAGTTTCCCACATGGAGGCTTAAAACTGTCAGACCCTAGAACTCATTGGCGCAGGAGACTACTTCCTGAACAGAACACCAACAGCACAGGCTCTAAGATCAACAATAAATGAGACCTCATGAAACTGAAAAGCTTCTGTAAAGCAAAAGACACTGTCATGAAAACAAAACGACAGCCTACAGACTGGGAAAGGATCTTCACCAACCCTACATCTGACAGAGGGCTAATATCCAGTATATATAAAGAACTCAAGAAGTTAAAAAACACCAAATCAAGTAATCCAATTAAAACATGGGGCACGGAGTTAAACAGAGAACTCTCTGTAGAGGATTGTAGAATGGCAGAAAAACACATAAAGAAATGCGCAACGTCCTTACCATCAGGGAGATGCAAATCAAAACGACCCTGAGATTTCACCTTATATCCTTCAGAATGGCTAAGATCAAAAACTCAAGTGACAACACATGCTGGAGAGGATGTGGAGAAAGGGGAACCCTCCTCCATTGCTGGTGGTAATGCAAACTTGTACAACCAGTTTGGAAATCAATCTGGCGCTTTCTCAGACAAATAGGAATAGTGATTCCTCAAGATCCAACTATACCACTTCTAGGCATATATCCTAAAGATGCTCAAGTACACAACAAGGACATTTGCTCAACCATGTTTATAGCAGCTTTATTTGTAATAGCCAGGACCTGGAAACAACCCAGATGTCCCTCAGTTGAGGAATGGATACAGAAATTGTGGTACTTTTACACAATGGAATACTACTCAGCAATTAAAAACAAGGAAATCATGAAATTTGCAGGCAAATGGTGGGACCTAGATACGATCATCCTGAGTGAGGTATCCCAAAAGCAGAAAGACACACATGGTA